CAGGGTTTCTCTGTGTAGCTTTGCGCCTTTCCTGGGACTCACTTGGTAGTCCAGGCTGGCCTCGAACTCACAGAGATCCACCTGGCTCTGCCTCCTGAGTGCTGGGATTAAAGGCGTGCGCCACCACCGCCCGGCTCCAAAACAAAAATCTTAAATGTTAAAAAAAAAAAAAATTTTATTGCTGGGTATGGTGACATCCATTTTTAATCCCAGTACTCAGGAGGGCAGGTGGAGCTCTGTGAGTTCAAGGCCAGTGTGGTCTACATAGTGAGTTCCAGGCCAGCCAGGACAACACAGTTTGATTTCACCCCTCCACCCAAGAAATAATAGATGTATGTGTGTGTATGTATACCTATATCTATCTATCTATCTATCTATCTATCTATCTATCTATCTATCTATCTATCTATCTATCTATCTATCTATCTGGAGTGCCACATGCCTGTGAGCAGTCCACCATGAGTGTTGGGAACCGAACTCAGGTGCCCTGGAAGAGCACACAGCACAGTTAATTGCTGAGCCACCTCTCTAGCCCTTAGGTCCATATTCTGTATAAGAAGAATGAAATTACAGGCTGGCTGCAGTGGCTAATATCTGTAATCTTAGCATTTTGATGGTTCTGAGGCTGGTGGATTGCTACAAAATTGAGGTCATTGTAAGCTACAGAAAGAGATGCTGCCTCAAAAAAAAAAATCTAAGAGAAAGATTTACATTTTTGTGTCTATGTAAACATGGAGAAAAGATCTGAAGGCCGTGGATACTGACTATCCAGGCTAGGTGAAAATGAGGAGTGAGAGGTGGAAACAGCAAAGAGGAGCAAGGACAATCTCACTCACACAGAACTCCTATCAAGAGGTCTTTTGGGCTGGGGCGACAGCTCAGTTGCTCCACCGTTTACTGCACGAACATGAGACCTTAGGTTCAGATCCTTAGAACCCACACTGGCACCTTGGGTCAGTGGCAAATTCCTCCATACGTCTACATGCTGGGGAGGTGGAGGCAGGAGGACCTCCAGGGCTAGCCAGCCAACCAAGCAATGGTGACGAGGTAAGCTCCAGTGGGAGACTCAGTCTCAGAAAACGTGCAAAGTGACTGATGGTGACCTCCGGCCTCTGCACACACATGAAAGGTGTACCCAAACACATGCACAGAAGATTGAAGTTTTTATTCCTAATGGCATTTCTGTTTTTGTCTTCAGACAGGGTCTCATTTAGCTCCAGATTGAGGAACTGGCTGAGCTAAGGATGACCTGGAACTCTTAATCTTGCTGATATTCCAGGCCAATGTGTCATTATTCCAGTTTATGTGATGTGAGGACTGACAGGGACTGACCCGATCCTCCTGTGTGCTAGGCAGGCGCTCTACCAGCTCAGTCACAGCCCAACCCCAAAGTTCTTAGATACTTTTAAATCAGTCTAAGAAAATGTTCTAAAATTATTTTGAATTGGAAAAACATTACCCTTGTTCCTTTGGCTGATTATCTCCGGTAACTTTTCCGCCCTTCTTCCGAATGTATGTAGCACCAGGAGAATTCTCAAGAGCCTCGACATCCACTTTTAGAGACATGCTGTCCGATGAGGGCAAGTGTTTACTAAGACTGGAGTAGGACAGGTGTTCAGGAACACAACATACACACATTTATGTCTGTCAACATATCTCTGCCATCAGAAAGATACTAACTTTTCCTGATGGCCTTTATCAAAAGCAAAAAATACTTTTGAATCTTCTATAGAAAACAAGTCACATCAAATAGACAATATATATTCTGAAAGGAAAACTTATCATGTATTCCTTAACTCGCGTAGTGATATAGTTCAAGGATTCCCAAACTTCCAAATGCATAGGCTGTCCCAGCACAGAGGCTGTGACTAGTAGCTTCTTAGCATCTGATACTGCAGCTCAGTCTTTGGGACATGACCTCATCAGAGTAGCACTTAGAGCCCCAAACTGACCAACTAGGGTATTTAATTTTTTCTATTTTGAACTCAGCATATACGGCCAAGGACGACCCGATTCTCCTGCTCCTGCATCTCAAGTACTAGAAATTGTACGCCTTGTCCCTAAATCATCTTAAACATTGTTTGTGATGCACATGTGACTCCCTCCCCCACTTCATTACTGTTTTTCAGTCATTCTGATACCTAGTTCTAAATTTTGCTTTCACCAGGCAAGCCTGTGAGTTGCAATTTCTAGCAGAAAAACCTCTGCTCCAAACCCGAGGAAGCAGAGCTCTTGGTGCTCCACGGAGAGTCGTGCCACAGAGGATACGCCTTTGCTTTCTCAGGATCCACAAGCGAGTAAGCAGAAATAAGCTGCGCTAGTGTGTGAATATCTTTTGAATTTTGCCTAAAAGAAGAAATGAAGTTAGTAAACAGCTTCTAAAATTAACGCTAGCATAAACAGAGAAGAGCCCCCTCAGATGAACCAAGTGTGGGTCCCCACCACTGTTCAGAGCTTACTTCCACAGCTGCTCTAGGTCACTAACTGCCTCCTTCTTTCGTCCATATTTGAGCTTGAAGTTTGCAGCTTCTCTTATCAAGGACAAATGAGCAGGGGATTTGGGCTACAGGTTCAACAAAACAAAATAAAGCCTTAAGCCAAGTATCTAGCCAGTCAGTGAAATCCTATTTATCAGCCCTTTAAAATGGGCACTAAATTCCTCATCTGAAGTTTTACTAAGTATGTGAAAGAACAAGTAATCATCAACGTATAAAACTAGAACATAATTCATTTTATTTTGGTCACTTACAAAAATAAACAAGATGGGAATGTAGGTCTGGTAGTGAGAACACTTGCTTAGGATACCTAGTACATGGTCCATCTCTAACACCAGCAGAAAAAAACCCAAGCAAACAAAACAAAATGCTCCTAAAATCAAATCATAAAAGATATGGCACATTCTCAAACATTAATTCAACATACTACTATTCAAAACATTGATGCCCTCCCACCGCTAACAGTTAATAACCATGTAAATGCAACAAGTATGTATGTATATGTGTGTGTGTGTGTGTGTGTGTGTGTGTGTGTGTGTGTGTGTGTATGCAAGGTAACATGTATGTATGTATGCATGGCAGTAAGTTGATACTAACTATGCAGCGATTGATAGCGGAAAAATGAAGATGCTCCTATTGGAGATATGATAAATATTCATTCCATACACTGCTGTTCTAATAACTAATAATCACCCACGGGTTCTTAGCTCATTATCAATAAAGAACAATAATATCATGACATTCTGAGTGTGTATACAAATGGACATACACAGGAAAAAGCTTCTAAAAATAAAAATGAGCTGTTTTGTTTCATCTTGTAGCTGTTCCTTAGGTCTAACAATTTTATTTGGATCTAGCATTCTTTACAAAAATTAATGATAGTCTAGTAAGTCTTCCATTTTAAAATAGTGACTCAAAATATTTCAGTTCTGAAATTTTTGGCTCAGAATATTTTATTACTTATGGAAAAAACCATGCCCTTATAGTACTTGACTTCATTCCTTTACCTGATGGCTTTGATACCACTGGATAGCTTGTGTGAAGACTTCAATGGCACTATCAATATCTTCCTCGTGGCTGTACATGGTTACTAACGCAGATACCTGTCCAGCAAAGGAGAAAGTTGATGAACAAAACACTCCATGTACTCTCAGAACATAGTTCTTAAAAATTAAAATTGCTAAATGAATAAAGATTGATGGGATCTCTGCCAGTACCTAATTCACCATAAACACTATTCTTTTAGAGAACACAATCTCTTAGAAATACTTGGAAAAATATGAAGGCATTTATTTATAAAATGGACTCCTTCTAAAGTAGCGTCAAGTTTTGTAAGATCAGAACATGAAAAATAAACTTTTTGATAAAGTCATACAACCTATCTTGCTGGACATTCAAGTGTGTGATTAGGGAGCTTCCAGCATGGCTGAACTGTAATGAGATGCACATCGCCTAAGCTGTGGAAAGCTGACAGAGGAGCTTGTGGGGCAGCAAGGAAACCCAGTGTCTGGGTGTGCATGGGTATGTGCCTGTGAGAACAGGTGTGCATGGGTATGTGCCTGTGAGAACAGGTGTGCATGGGTGTGTGCCTGTGTACTCCCTGAGAGAACAGCAAAGGTCAGCAAACAGAAAAAAGGTGCATTTTTAAGAAACTGGTAAAATTGACAGTCTGGCCACACTGGTCAGAGAGAGAGACAACGTAAGTGTGATGGCTAATCCTGGACATCAGCTGGACACACTTGGGAAGCGGGAGCCCAACTGAGCAACTGCCTCCTCCAGACTGGCCCACAGCCATGGTTGTGTGGCATCTTCTTAATTGATGATTGATGTGGGCAGGCCTAGCCCACTGCGAGTGGTGTCAGCACTAGGCAAAAATGGCCCTGGACAGTATTAAAAATGTAGCTGAATGTGAGCCTGGACTAGTACGTGGTGTTCCAGTCTCTGCTTCAGTTCCTGCCTCCAGCTTCCCTCAATTATTGATTTGGTTTAATGTAACCTGTAAGCCAAATAAATGAACTCTTTCCTCCCAAAGTGGTTTTGGTCAGTATTTTACCACAGCAACAGGAAACTGACTAGGTCACGTAACCAGCGTCAGTGAAAGATTCTGCAGTTATTGGGAGTATAATAAGAAAGTACTTGTACAGCTTCTATGGCAGTAAGTTCAACAGCTGAGATAAAATGGATAAATTCCTTAGAGCAAAAGACTAGATTTTTCAGTCATATAATGGTACAATTCTCCTTCAACTATGAAGAGAAAGCGCCATGAAGACAGCACACATTATCAGTGCTGTGAGCGAGCTGGCTTGGAGGACAGCAACATGAATAAAGAGTTCTTGTTCAACTGATGCATGTTCTATCACCACCCAATCAGTATGTACTATGAAAAAGACACTTTCACATCTTACAGAAACTGAAAGATATCCTCCTCTTTCTGCCTCTTGAATGCTGGGACTAAAGTGTGTGCCACCATGCCTGGCTTAAACCTGGAATGTTTGAAAAGAACTAAAATCTAAATTTTCTGACCACTACTTTTAAGTTGCTTTAACAAAAACACTAAAAAAATCAAATAATTTCAATGACATGATAAACAATCTAGCAAGGAAAAAAATAATCCATGTACAGATCTGAGATTGAGGCTGCCCTTTATGGGTAATGTGGGGCTTAAACAAGACTTAACACATTTGACTACCAGAGCACAGAGTGTTATTCTAAAGGCGAGTCCTGCCTCACTAACACACGAGGAAATGAGTGGAAACGAAAGAGGACATCGAGACAGCACAGCCATGCAAACAGAAGGAGTCACGCAGACACTTACCATGCCTGGTTTATGCTTTAACTCCTCTATGCTTCTCAATATTAGACAGGCTTTGGAAATGTTCCCTAAGGAGATTAAAAACAACATCAGCACCACACTGAATAAAACATATTGTGGAAAAAATGTAAGAAAATTTATTCCCTATCATTTTTCCTTGGGCAAGAGATCACCAACTGTACTCTGCAGTATCGTGTGCCCACTGCTCATTTCTGAAGTAAGGAAACTCTCTCTGCTTGTGCACGTGCTAAGTGTATGGTGATGTGACTGTGTATGTAAACATGGAGAGGAGGATGCCGGCTGTCTTCCTCGGAGCTCACTGCAGAGAGACAGGGTCTTCTACTGAATCAGAAGCTTTTAGTTTGGAAGGCTGCACAGTGAGCAGACTCCCAGAACCTGCCTGTCTCTAGCAGTGAATGGAGTCTCAGGCATGCACAGCCATGCTCAGCATTTTATGTGAGTGCTGGGGATTCAAATTCAGCTCCTCATGCGGCACAGCTGGAGCTCTTAGGCCCTGCACTGTCTCCCAGACTGAAACCGTATCTTCCTACAGAGCTTTTATCCAAAGTCTTGCAACTCCAGGCTGTTGAGTAACATTTTCTCTCTTTTAGACTGGAATCTGAAGGTGTGTGTGTGTGTGTGTGTGTGTGTGTGTGTGTGTGTGTGTGTGTGTGTCCCCAAAAGGCCTTCAAACATGTCACTATAGACTAGAGTGTAATGGAAAAATGGTATTACAATTCTGATTTTATGTTCACTGCAAAGCTCAATAACCCAAATCTCTCATCTTTAATTCTCAACCAATCCTCAATCCTGTTTCAATTACTGCCTCACCAAGGACCCCCCCCCCTTTTTTTTTTACACTTTTTCCTAAATGCCAACTGTTTTCCTCCATTCCATGAAATTTTCATCTCAGCCATTGTGACTAGCTAAAATTTTCTGGACCATTTGCTATTGCCCACTGAGAACTTGAGCTGTCTGATATATACTTCTGTAAATGTCAAGGTCTATGCATCCATGCTGTCCCACACAGGTACCTTTAGTTTTCTCTGGTTACTAATAAAACTCACATTTCTGAAACAGGTCCTACTATGTAGCTCAGATTAGCTCTGAACTCATAATCTTCCTGCCTCAGCCATTAGAGAGCAGGGATTATAGGGATGTGCTCTATGCCTAGCTGTAAATTTCATTCACTTTTAATTAGTTTAAAATTCAATTAGCTACATGAATACAGCAGCCAGGACACCAGACAACTCAGTTCTAGATAACCAAGTTCAATTAAAGCAAACAAACCATGCAGTTTCCTTCTGGGTATCAAATAGATGAGATTTCATAGACTTCTGCACTTAGCAAAGTATAAAGAAGGAAAAAGGAACTAGCTATGAAATACTGCAAAGTAGAAAGCAAAGGCGCTCCTTTCTTACTCATCCAATTTCAGGAGGCTTCTCTAGACGTGACATCCGAGGTGCAGTGCGCTGCAGCAAAGGCACCTCCCGCTCGCATGGACCTTTCAGGCTGGAGAATCATTCCAAAGCACAGGAAAACCCAAGGAAAGGCCCATTTCCCCACCGCTCAGTCTGTTGGAGACCACACAGCCTAGACTGTCTGCAACAGCAGCTAACCTTTACCACTCAACAAGGAGCTTAAAAGTCAAATATTAATACCTTGGGAAATTTTCAGCTGCGCCATGGTAAGCTTGATTTCGGCTGCATTTTCTGGATGTTGATCAGAAAATTCCTAAGATATTTTTAGTTGTGGGTTAAAAACACATGTTTAATTTACACAACTGTAAGACACTACAATTACTTAGCTCTATAAGATTTCAAAGTTCAGCTTAAAGTTAACTTCTGGCTTCAGGTCAATTTTTTTTTTCTTTTCAAGACAGATTTCTGTGTAGCCCTTCCTTATCCTAGAACTCAATCTGTAGACCAGGCTGGCCTTGAACGCAGAGATCTGCCTCCCTCTGCCTCCCAAGTGCTAGGACTACGGGACTAAAGGAGTGTGCCACCACAGCTGGCTGAGGTCAAAATCTTACACCTTGGGAGAAATGTTACTCCACACCCATGCTTTCTAGCAAGCTTTGTATGTAGGTACAGTGATATCAAGTTCCCTGCTACACAAACTGGCTGTACTTGTCTTAAAGAAACTCAGCTACTGCCTCCTCACTGGGGGGTCTCTGCTAGGCAACTTTCTCTCCGAATGGTCCTAATTTTATCCTGTCCATTTTCTCAACTATTTACACTCATGAAACTCATATAATATATAACACTTATGTAATATGACAACTGGTTTGGGATGATACAAACCAAGTGAGAATCTCCCTAACTGAGAGTGTGGAGTAGGACCCACTGAGGTATTAATGCATCACTGGAATGGGGGCCAAGCACGGTGTAGTACTGCAAGCCTAAAGTTAAACTCCCTAATTCATGCTGAATGGAACTCCAAATGAAAAAGCATTCTTTGAGCCGGGCGGTGGTGGCGCACGCCTTTAATCCCAGCACTCGGGAGGCAGAGCCAGGCGGATCTCTGTGAGTTCGAGGCCAGCCTGGGC